AAACGACAGGGGCCTGTAAGCCCTTATTTCTAGGCTTTTAGGCTGGAAATGCGGGACGGGCCCTGCAGGCCCGTGTGGCTATGCAGTATGCCACACACCCCCCTCCTTGAAAGACCGAGCTTACCTGCGAGGGCGAAGCTGTCTGTCTGAGGGAGGGACCACAGTCCGGGTGGGAGGGGCAGGTCGTGAAGGTCCCTGAGCTAACCTTTGTCGCTCGTAGTGAGCGTAGATCAGCGGTGCAGATGCTTTCAAATCTGTTCCTGAAATCCACCGAATGTCGTCGGGATCGCATGCTCTGAATGTAACTTTGTACTGTCGAGGCTTGTTGCCGTACTTGCGATCCGTGATGACGCGGTCAACCTCCTGGGAATTCGTCGCTCTTAGCTGGTGTATATGTTGCCAGCTTCAAGGCGTGAAAGACTGGATGGACCGTCAGATGCGCCGGGATGTTGATCACAAATGAAGGTCCATCGGGCTTATCGCCAGCGGCTGATGTTACGGGCCATGGTCCAAACCACTTGGGAAGCAATTTGCGTGAAACATCCTGTTCCAGCGCAAACTCTTCCGCGGAGACCCAAACCAGATCACTGGCGCGGATGGGACATGGCACGCGACGCCTGTTGGCTTGCTGTTGTATGCGGGCTTGAGCCTTTTGCATGTTCGCGCGGTCTTGAGCCAGCAACTCCCTGTACTGCCGGACGGGAGTGGGAGAGCCAGCAGCGTCGATGTCGGCTGGTCGTGGGAGGAGAAGGTCGGCGAAGATACGGCCTTTCCGTCCACCGTGGTGCAACTCGAATGGAGTCACGCCGATCGCTGGGTGCACCGAAGTGTTGTAGGCGAACTCGATGTCGGGGAGGCGGTCAACCCAATCTTTCTGGTCCGGACGGATGAGCGTACGAAGCATCATTTGAGCGGTTTGATGTGCCCGCTCCGTTTGTCCGTCCATCTGTGGATGCCGAGTCGAACTTGGTTTCATCTTTGTTCCGGACTTCTGCATGAGAGCAGTTCAAAATGCCGACATGAAGCGAGTGTCGCGCTCGCTGACTATGTCTTCTGGTACACCGTGGCCACAAATCCAACCGGTGTGCAAGAGGCGTGCCAGCTCGGGAGCCGTGGAGTAGTACTTGCAAGGGATAAAACGCGCATACTTACTCAAACGGTCCACAATCGTGAGGTGCCGTTGTGCCCGAGGCGATCGCGAGGAAATGGTCTGGTGACATCCATGGCAATGGAGAGGCCGGGTTCCCGTGGGATAGGCATCGGGCGCAACTCGCCGTAGGGGTTGCAATTGCGGGGTTTCCTTCGTCGGCAAACTTTGCAAGGGTTGCAATACCGAGTGACATCGGTAATGAGGTCGGTCCATCGGAATCGTTGTCGAAGTCATGCAATGGTGCGGTTGACTCCGAAATCGCCGGCGAGTTGCGAGTCATGATACTCACCGAGAAGGCGAGTCCGAAGACGACGGTCTCGTGGGACACACAATAAGTCCTTGCCTCTCGAGTGGAGGAGCAAGTACCCGTCGGCAATGCGATAGTGGCTGGTCGACGGGTGATCCGAAGATAGTTGCGCGTACAACGTGGCGAAGTTCGGATCCGACTCATATCCCCGGATGAAGTGTCGCTGAAGTTCCTCGTCGAATGCGAAGGCATGATGTGTCATAGCGCAAAGATCAGGTCTTCGCGAGAGTGCATCTGTTGCGCGATTGGAGAGGCCGGGAAGATATTTCGGTGTGAAGTCAAATTGGTCGATGAAGTACATCCATCGTCCGATCGTGCTGCTCACCGTATCCTGCGTCTTGTAATAAGTCAGTGGGTTGTTGTCCGTAACCTATGTGAACCTACGACGCCCAAGGAGGAAGTGTCGCCATCGCTTGAGAGCCATGACGAATGCGAGCAGCTCCTTCCTTGCATCATCAAGCGAGTTGATGGGAGGCACTTTGTGGCTGAAATACTCCACAGGGCCGTTGTGTTGTTCCAAGACTGTCCCAATGCCATAGCCGGAAGCGTCAGTTGTCACTCTCGTAGGCAGGGTGGGGTCATAGATGCTAAGGACGGGTGCCATGAGCATGGCCGTCTTAAGTGCTTGGAATGACCGGCGTGCGTCGTCATCGAATACGAATGGCACCTTTGGCGATTGTAATCTCGTCATAGGTGCAGCAATCCTTGAGTATCCAGTGATGAATCGCTGATAGTAGCCCGCCAACCCCATGAATGAACGAACGTCCGTGGTGTTGGTGGGCTCGGGTCATACGCGGAGGGCCTCGATCTTGTCCGCAAGCGGACGGATGCCTTGCGGCGTCACATAATGTCCCAAGTACTCCAGCTCCCGCCGCACGAATTCGCATTTGTTGCGGTTGGCTTTGTACTTGGCTTGTCGTAGCCGCTCCAAAACGGTGCGCAGGTGTTCCACATGCTCGTCCAAACTTCGGCTGTACACCAGGATGTCATCGAGGTAGATAAGTACGAATCGATCCAGCATGTGTCGGAACTCCGTTGTCATAGCCGCTTGGAAAGTGGTCGAGGCATTCGTAAGGCCAAATGGCATGACCAGCCATTCGAAATGCCTATATCGCGTTTAAAACGCGGTCTTGTAGCGGTCCTCCTTCCGAATCTCGAGTTGGTGATATCCCGACTTGAGGTCCAGCTTGGAGAAGAACTTGGCGCCACCCAGTCGTTCGAGAAGGTCGTCGATGCGTAGGAGAGGGCCGACGTTTCTGATCGTCTGCGCGTTGAGCTTGCGATAATCGATGCACAACCGCAAATCCTTGTTCTTCTTCCGGACGAAGAGAACAGGAGCACCGTATGGCGATGAGCTAGGCCGAATCCATCCTTTCTCCAAAAGGTCGTCGAGTTGTGCCCGAAGCACACTTAACTCTTCCTCGCTCATTCGGTAGATGCAACCGCGCAGAGGTACGGCCTCGTCCTCGAGGACGATCTCGTGGCGGATGGGCCGATCCGGTACTACTCCGTGCGGGCCTTCGAACACGTCGCTGTAGGCGTCGAGAAGCTCGGTGATGCGTGGGTCCGAAGATGAGTCCATTGATAAAGCGTCATGGGGCGGGAGGGCGTGGAGAAAACACCCCCCCATCTCCTCGATGTCGTTTTTGATGATGGAAGCTCGCATGCTTGCGGCGGACACCACGTGACAGCTGATTGAAGGGTGAGGAGGAGCTACCGTGCATGGGACTAGTACTCCGTTCCGATCACGAACGTGAACGATGCGGCGGTAGAAGTTCACCGGGTGATCCTCACTTCGCAGCCATGACATGCCCAAGATCATGTCGAATTTGGTGTCCAAAATATCGAAGGACACCGCCTCGCTCGCGTGCGGGGCAAAGTACACGGGGACGTCATCAACGCACCGGTCTATTGACTTGTGCGTGTGACCGTCCGCCAACGTGACTTGCGTCGGCTGGGACTTTCTCCGGACGCGTGGGCCAAGGCCGGCGCGTACCATAAAGTCCTGGCTCATATAGTTGCAAGATGCTCCACAATCGATCAAAGCGCTGCAGGTCGCCTCTCCGATCTGAATGCGTACATATAGCAATGGTGCGTCGATGTCGTCGTACCGTTGCCTCTTGAACTCGTGGTCGATCTTCGCAATGTAGGCGTGAAGGTCGACAACCTCTACTCCGGCGTCCATCAACGGAGTTGGTACTGAAGTGTGCAAGTAATCCCGCAATTGTGCCATGAGCACGTTGCAATGCGGTTTCGGCAATCGACCAAACCGGGGAAGGGGCATCCATTGGAAGTCCGCAAATGTCAACAGGTCGAGCTCTTCAAGTCTTGACCATGACGTTGAATCCCCGGCGGTAGATGGC